ATGAGAGAAAATTAGATGATTTTCTTCGACTGTTTTTGGCAATTATATCATGTTGTTAACAACAGCAGACTTCAGTTTAGCGACTAATCACTTGAACTTGGGCCTTGCTTGAGTTAGCAGTTTTTCTCTTTGCAGAGACTTTGAGGTGATTTCTTTTCCACTCTTGGTTGAGAGAGGGATATCTAGCTTGTTTGCAGGCTTTTGGATGTTCAAGTCCATCTGCTGTCATGAAAAACTGGTAGTTAAAGCCAATCGAAAGCTGTTTCTGCAGTTTCTTTTTAAGCAATTCAAAGGCATCTGATGCCAGCTAGTCTCTGAGTATCAAATCCAACTTCTTGCAAAAGTTGCATGCTCCTGTGTCACCAATGAGTAAATGTCCCATAGTTCCACTCCCTGCTTTGGGTTAGAAAAGAAAAACTAATAATCGAAGCTTTTCCAATTTATATTTCGCATTGAACATGTTGATCTTACAAGAAATAGGCAACAGAGTTGCAGATGATCGCAAGTTTATGGAGGACAGAATGTGAGAGACCATTTAGGAGTGTACGTACAATGATAAAAGTATGAGTGAGTGTTTCAGGAACGGATGAACTGAGGCAGATGAAGATGAGTGATGTCACAGAGATTGGAAATGGTCTTATTAATGGCGTGGATATGATGTTGGAAGATTATCTTGTGATTAGATGTGACACCAAGGACAAAAAGAGACTAGCTTAATCTCAGACTATTGTTAGGGAAAGTCGTAAAGTTCGGAGTTTAAAAAAAAATGAAGCTTCAAATTCGATTGAAAACAATGGCTTTACTTTTCCAGGTATTTATTTGGGTGAAGTTTCAACTATTCAACTCTGGATCAATGACCTGCTGTGTTCCTCCAGCTCCACACTGCATCGACTCTGACTCCAGCATCTGCAGTTGTGCTTCTTTCATAGTAACCATAGTCAGTGTGGGAATTGAACCCATGCTGTTAGTGTCACTCTGCAGTGTACACCAGCTGTCCAGCTAACTGACCCCTGTAAGGAGGAACAAACTTGCATTGTAAGCAGTTCTGATTTCTGGGATGAAGGAGTCTTATGAGGAAAGCCTGTACCCATTGGTGTTTAGAAGAATGAATGGTGATCTTATTGAAGAGTAAGATTCTGAGGGGAGCTTAATGGGGTTGATGTTGAGAGCATTTTTCCTCTCACTGGGAATCTGTAGATAGGAGGGCTCATTTTAAAGATAAAGGGCCTCCACTTCAGACTGATTTGAGGATGTATCTCTTCTCTGAGGATCATTAATCTTTGGAATTCTTTTCCACAGTTAGAGTAGTGGAGCCTAGATCTTTATATCTATTCAAGGCTTACCACTAATATTTGCCATATTGTATGTTTTTTCTTTCAATTTATTGCTAGCCTTTACTTACCTAGTTGATCATGTTTGCCTTATCCTGTTCCTTATTTATCACTTTACTGTGAGCCTATTTTATTTTCTTAAACATCCTTCATTTTTCCTCCACCATCTTTACTGCTAACCTCCTTTCTCAGTCCAGTCCTGCTAGCTCTGCCCTCACTCCTTAGTAATTACCTTTATTTAAGTTGAGTTCAGTTGTTTCTGACCCATATTCCCCCTTTCAAACAGTGCTAAATTCTACCATTTCATGGTCACTGCTTCTTCGGGGATCTTTTTCATGGGCATTAATTATTAAATTGGCTCATACATCACCAGATCCAAAATATCCTGATTCTTAGTTGGACCATAGCATATTGTTTTAGGAAACTAAGAACAAACATTTATGAGGAATCAAATTGCTTTATATCTGGATTTAAAAAAAAGTATAAATTTTAGAAGAGTAAGCCTTTGTCCCCCTCCACCCAAACATTGACGAATAGAACTCGTGCTTGGACGTTGAACAGTTTTTCTGCCGCCTCTGCCTCTGCACTTACTACTTCAATTGTGAGCCTAACCCTCCCCCTACTGACCCCTTCTCCCGCCTCCAACACACCCCCTCCTCCTGGACACCACCCCAAGGCCTCCTACCCTCCCTCGACCTCTTCATCTCCAACTGCCGTCGCGACATAGATCGCCTCAACCTCTCCACCCCTCTCACCCACTCGAACCTCTCCCCCACAGAACGTGCAGCCCTCCGCTCCAATCCCAACCTCACCATAAAACCCGCGGACAAGGGAGGCGCAGTTGTATGGCGAACTGACCTTTACATCGCTGAGGCCAGACGCCAGCTCTCTGACACCTCCTCCTACCGCCCCCTTGATCGTGACCCCACCCCCAACCACCAAAACATCATCTCCCAAACCATCCACAACGTCATCAGTTCAGGTGACCTCCCACCCACCGCCTCCAACCTCATCGTTCCCCAACCCCGCACCGCCCATTTCTATCTCCTTCCCAAAATCCACAAACCTGACTGCCCTGGTCGACCCATTGTCTCTGCCTGCTCCTGCCCCACTGAACTCCTCTCCACTTATCTCGACTCCCATTTTCTCCCCCTTGGTCCAGGAACTCCCCATCTACATCCATGACACCACCCACGCCCTCCACCTCCTCCAAAACTTCCGATTCCCTGGTCCCCAACACCTCATCTTTATCATGGACGTCCAGTCCCTATACACTTGCATTCCCCATGCAGATGGCCTAAAGGCCCTCCGTTTCTTCCTGTCCCGCAGGCCCGACCAGTCCCCCTCCACTGACACCCTCATCCGCTTAGCTGAACTCGGCCTCACCCTTAACAACTTCTCCTTCAATTCCTCCCACTTCCTACAGACAAAGGGAGTGGCCATGGGTACCCACATGGGCCCAAGCTATGCCTGCCTCTTTGTAGGATACGTGGAAAATCCCTCCTCCAAAGCTACACTGGCAGTATCCCCCGCCTCTTCCTCCGTTACATTGATGACTGTGTATCGGCGCTGCCTCATGCTCCCACGAGGAGCTCGAACAGTTCATCCACTTCACTAACACCTTCCACCCCAACCTTAAATTCACCTGGACCATCTCTGATACCTCTCTCTCCTTCCTGGACCTCTCTGTCTCCATCTCTGGCATCCACCTGGAAACGGATATCCATTTCAAGCCTACCAACTCCCACAGCTACCTAGAATACACCTCCTCTCACCCATCTTCCTGCAAAAATGCCATCCCCTATTCCCAATTCCTTCGCCTCTGCCGCATCTGCTCCCAAGATGAGGCATTCCACTCCCGGACATCCCAGATGTCCTTGTTTTTCAAGGACCGCAACTTCCTCTCCACAGTGGTCGAAAATGCCCTTGACCGTGTCTCTCGCATTTCCCGCAACTCATCCCTCACACCCCCTACCCGCAATAACAACCAAAACAGGATCCTCCTCGTCCTCACGTGCCACCCCACCAACCTCCGGATCCAACGCATCATCCTCTGGCACTTACGCCGTCTGCAATCTGACCCCACTACCAAAGACATTTTTCCCTCCTCACCCTTATCTGCTTTCCGGAGGGACCACTCTCTCCGTGACTCCCTTGTCCGCTCCATACTCCCCACCAGCCCCACCACCCCTGGCACTTTTCCCTGCAAACGCAGGAAGTGCTACACCTGCCCCTACACCTCCCCTCTCACCCCCATCCCAGGCCCTAAGAAGACCTTCCACATCAAACAGATGTTCACCTGCACATCTGCTAATGTGGTATACTGCATCCACTGTACCCGTTGTGGCCTCCTCTACATCGGGGAAACCAAGCGGAGGCTTAGGGACCGCTTTGTGGAACACCTACGCTCGGTTCGCAACAAACAACTGCACCTCCCAGTCGCAAACCATTTCAACTCCCCCTCCCATTCCTTGGACGACATGTCCATCCTGGGTCTCCTGCGTTGCCACAATGATGCCACCCGAAGGTTGCAGGAACAGCACCTCATTTCGCTTGGGAACCCTGCAGCCCAATGGTATCAATGTGGATTTCACAAGCTTCAAAATCTCCCCTGCCCCGACTGCATCCCAAAACCAGCCCAGCTCGTCCCCACCTCCCTAACCATTTCTCCCACCTCGTCCCACCCCCATCTCCTACCAACTAGCCTCATCCCACCTCCTTGACCTGTCCGTCCTCCCTGGACCGACCTATCCCCTCCCTAACTCCCCACCTACATTCACTTTTACTGGCTCTAACCCCGCCTCTTTGACCTGTCCGTCTCCCCTCCACCTATCTACTCCTTTATCCATCTTCTATCCGCCTCCCCCTCTTTCCCTATTTATTTGAGAATCCCCTTGCCCTCCCCCATTTCTGAAGAACGGTCTCAACCCGAAACATCAGCTTTCCTGCTCCTCTGGTGCTGTTTGGCCTGCTGTGTTCATCCAGCTGTGCACCTTGTTATCTATAAATTTTAGAACATAGGTTACTTTTGTGAATTTCTCAAAAATATAGATGTTAATTTTGCCTAACTAAAGAATGACCTTGCTGTAATAGTGGTTTCTACATCCTTGGAACATGTATAAAGTCTGTTACAGCCAAGATATTACTTTTGGAGTTTAGTCACTGTTGTAATGTAGGTAAACATGGCTGTCAGTTTTATTCACAGCAAAATCCCACAAACAGCAATTAGATAAATAACCAAATAATCTGTTTTGATGTTATTGGTTTTGAAGTCTGAAAAAAATTGTTTTTTTTTTTGAATGATGCCTTGGAGTATCCAGAGGGCAGTTGAAATTCTTCATTTCGTATGACCCCTCTAAGTGCTACTTTTAAAGGAAGTAGTTTTCAACTCTGTTTCTCTCTCCACTGATACCAGTAGACCTGGTGAGTTTTTCCAGCACTTTGTTTTTATTTCAGATATCCAACATCTGCAATACTTATTTATCAAGTTTTATTGTCTTTTGGCAATGATAAAGAGATTTCCACAGTGATTATTTTTGAGTATTGTTCAGAGGTTTATCTAGCATGATGCACATTTTTATTTGTGTTTGACAAGTATTTAACATAACTTTCATTTTGTTTCAGAGTTGGTTAGATCTCACCAAAGAGATTAAGAAGCAATTACAAGGTAAGTATGTTTTTGTGTGTAATAAAGCTTAATTCATTCAAAACTAGATTATTCAACAGAGAAAAAAAAACTGCTTCCCAGCAGGATTCTTTTGTCTGATGTATCCTGAGTCTGGAAGGGTCCTATGCAGAAAACATGATAAAATCTAACCATGTGATTAATATAAAATAATACAGGCCCATGAAGTATGTTTTATGTGAATTTGGCGCAGGAATTTTAATGATTACTTTCCCTCTGTCTTGGATTCTTCCAGGATGGTTTATGTCAGATTTCTTAAAATGAAATGTTTCCTAACTGTGTGTTTGTGTGTCCTTTGATTCCAATCTATGTTGCTGTTCTTATATAAGGTTTATGTACCATTTATGCTACCTGTTGTCACAGGGGTTCATATTAACAGTAATCCATAATCAGTGTATTTTTAATTAAATTGAACCTAATCCTACTATAATAACAATTGAAGAACTAGAAGAACCCTGAATAATACCTGGTGAACAAAAAATTCATTATTACAACCCAAAGTACAACAAACTTGTTGTTAACCGGCACCTATGGGACCAGGAGTGTACCAGTTGATCAAATGCTCTGATTGATCAAGAGGAGCATATAATCATTGCAAAAGCGCACACTAAGTAATAGAAACGTAATGCAGGGAGTATACGCATCACTGTTATACTTTATTTACAGCATAACTCACTTAAATGAAAATGCAACTTTGCCTTGAATAAAACTTAAGAGGCAGATAGCTTTCTCATTTGCACCCTCAACTGACTACTCGGACATTGCGGAGATTGCGATAATAAAGCAAACTTGCGGTATTTCAGGTATATAATTTTTGCCAGTTTATCGAGAGTGCTGGTTTGTAAGGTTCCAATTAAAACAAAGTTTGCTGTGGTTTGTAAAAGAATAAAAATGTAATCTCTTCGTCCCCTGACTTTGAGGTGAGGGAAAGAAAAAGAGCAGTTAATAGTAATAAAGTAAATAGAGGTGAATGATTATTTACCATTAAAATGCTTTCATAAAAGTTTGAACAGAGTGCAGATTTACAAATCAGGGAGCAAACAGGTTGCATATGATCAGTGTTCCCTTTTAAGATCTGCATAGCTGTGCATAGATGTTCAATGCACTGTGCATGGGGCAACAAGCCAGTATTATTAAAGTAAAGTTAAAGTGAACATCGACTGAGACCCAAGAAAAATGTTGATATCCTGGATTTTAATGTATGGATGATGGCAGGATCAGGGGTCTGCGTGAAGAGAAAAATTAGATATTTTCAATATTGAAAGGAGGTGATTTTATAGATGTGCGTATATGCCTTATATCCTGAAGCATAATGGCTCATTGAAGGTTTGCACAATGCACTAGCTACAGCATTGGAGTATTTAGTGAAATAACACGATCAAATTTCTAGAACGGGTATTGGCATACAATAACTTTGTCCAAAGAAGTTTACTAAAAATTTCCTTCTGTTATGAGACAATGACTTGAATTTATATTGTCCCTTTCGTTGACAATGAACAGTAAAAGTAAAAATTGCTCTAAAATTTTATTTTTCTTATTTTGGTTCAAAACTACTTGAGCATTATGTAACATCGCTTATACTTCCATACAGTATTAAGTGGGTGCTGCAATTTGTCAGAGATGGCATACTTTGGAAAAGGCATTAAAATCAGTGGTCTGAGATAGTAAGAACTGCAGATGCTGGAGAATCTGAGACAACAAGGTGCAGAACTGGATGAACACAGCAGGCCAAGCAGCATCATAGGAGCAGGACAGCTGACGTTTCGGGCCTAGACCCTTCATCAGAAATCAGTGGTCTACCTGTTTGTTAAATGGAAAACATCCTGTGATAATCCATGATCTCATTTGAAGAACAGCAGGAACATTGCCCCAGTGCCCTAGCAATATTTATCCAACACCACTAAAGCCGTTAATTTGTTAATATTGTTTGTTACACTTTGTAGAACGGTACAGCACAGTACAGGCTCTTCGGCCCACAGTGGTTTGCCAACCTATTATCCTACTAAGATCAAACTACCCTGCATACCCTACATTTTGCTATCCTCCATGTGCCTATCCAAGAGTCGCTTAAAAGTCTCTAAAGCATCTGACTCCACTACCACTGCCGGCAGTGCATTCCACATTCCCACCACACTATATAATAACTCTGTATTTCAGAAGTAATTGGCTGTAAGTGCTTGAGGCATGTAATGACATGAAAGATGCAGCTAAATGCAAGTTTGTTATTTTTCTCCTTTTTAAGAAGGGGTTAATTCCTTGTTGGAATGCAGTTTCATTCACTGTCTTGCTCTCTGTACCTCATTCAAGTGGCTATTGGATGTCTTAATTCCCAACAGTGTATTCAGCTATTTAGCAGCAAAAACCTAATTTCATTTTCGCTTAACTACACAAACAAATCCTACCCTGGTTATCCTTTCTTCTACCTTCTTCCAAAGGACAGAAGATATAAATGTTTGAAAACAGGTACCAACAGATTCAAGAATAACTTCTTCTCTGCTGTTGTCAGACTTTTGAATGGACCTCTCATATACTCTTTCTTTGCACCTTTTCTGTAGCTGTAACACTATATCTTGCATTCTGTTCTGTTATCCTGATGTATGGTATGATTTGCCTGGATAGCACGCAAAACAATACTTTTCACTGTATCTCAGTATATGGGACAATAATAAATCAAATCAAATCAAATCAAATCAAATCAAATCAAAAATCACTAATGATTACAATCATTTTTGGTGTGTCTCTCCCTGGACTAGATGTTCTTTCTGCTGTCAAGAAAAGGTCACTTAACCCCTCTAGCACCTTGGCTGGGTTTATCAAATAACATCAGAGATAGTAGGAACTACAGATGCTGGAGAATCTGAGATAACAAGGTATAGAGCTGGATGAACACAGCAGGCCAAGCAGCATCACAGGAGCAGGAAGTGTGATGCTGCTTGGCCTGCTGTGTTCGTCCAGCTTCTACACCTTGTTATCAAATAACATGCTGTTTTTGATTGCTGTGCTTTTTTTAAAAAATAAAAAGCCTATGATTCAATTGTATCCTACAGCACAAGGAAGGTATAATAACACATCTTTGTATTCCAGGTGGACCTTGGGATTTTACATTCAGTGTGAAGTTTTATCCACCTGATCCTGCACAGTTGACTGAAGATATAACAAGGTAAAACTCATTATTAGTGAGAAATAAACCTTTAGTGTATGCAGCTTCTAACATATTTCCTCAAGTTGATATTACCTTAAATTTTAGAATGAGATACAGGGAAATTCTCTTATTTAGTCTGTCTTGAATTTTTGTAATTCTGTGCCCCAGAGCTTATTGAATGATGAAGCAAGCTCAAAATGGTTCTGCTGCTATTTTTTGTTTTTAAACATTTTTTAAAAGTCATTTCAAATTGGAAGCCACGCTCCAGATCCTAACCACTCCAAGCTTGTGGGATGCGACACATTAAGTAGAGGCTCAGCGTAGAGAAGCCAGGAAGTTAGACTCAAGCCATATAGAACATCAATTCAATCAAAACTGGAATATCACATCCATTTCTAGGCACCACACTGCAGGAAGGACATGACTGTTTTAGAGAGAGTTCAGAAGAGATTTACCTGAATGGTGCCAGAGATGAGGAACTTGAGCCATGTGGATAGATTGGAGAAACCTCTATTTTAGGCAGAACAATCAAAGAGATGTGAAAGTGACACTAACACGAAGGGTTTCTATCAAGCAACATAAAGCTGTTTTCCATGGCTGAAGGGCCTATAACAAAGGAGCGCTGATTTAAAGTGATTAACAAATGGAATAGTAGACATGGGAGAAAAATTTTACAATAAAGATAGTTATGATTTAATATTTAGCTCTACTTGATAGAATGTTGGCAGTAGAGTAGTCTTTCAAGGGGAATTGGATAAATATTTGAATGAGAAAAGAATTAGAGATATAGGGAAGGAGCGGGACCATCTGTATTTCATTGACATTTGTATTTGTATTTCTTGGTTCTTTGAAATTGCCAGTGCAGATTTTGATGAGCTAAATGGTTCTGTTCTGTGCTGTATGATTCCATGATCATTACTGGTTATACTCCATACACAGTAACTGAAAAAGGGTTTGAATACCATCTCATCTGTTGTTTCTTTTTTTTATTCATTTATGGGATGAAGGCAACGCTAGCTAGGCGAGCATTTATTGCCCATCCCATTAAAAGTCACCCACATTGCAATGGATCTGGAGTCACATGTAAGCCAGACCAGGTAAGGATGGCAGTTTCCTTCCCTAAAGGGCATTAGTGAACCAGATTTTTTTTCTGACAATTGACAACAGATTCATGGTCATTGTTAGACCCTTCATGCCAGATTTACATTGAACTCAAATTCCACCATACAATAGAAGGATTTGAATCCAGGCCCCCAGAAATAACCTGGGTCTCTGGGTTAACAGCCTAGCAATAATCCCACTAAGCTGTCACCTCCCTTCAATTGATTAAATATTTAAAGTCAAATTTAAGTGTTGGTCATGCGGAACACGTTTGATGGACTTTTGTGTTTAAAGTTTTGGTTTTCAAGCCTATAATGATGCTCAAGTGTTTATTTATGTTTGTTCCAGATATTACCTGTGTCTTCAGTTGCGTCAAGACATAGTTACTGGATGTCTGCCGTGTTCATTTGTTACCCTTGCCCTGTTGGGATCATACACTGTTCAGTCAGAGCTGGGTGAATATGATCCAGAGTTACATGGAACAAATTATGTTAGTGAGTTTAGGTTGGCCCCAAATCAAACAAAGGAATTGGAAGAGAAAATTATGGAACTTCATAAAACACATAGGTATGTATTCTTATTTGACAAAAAATGCTGTTTACTCCAATATTTTATAATTTGCATGTCAGAACACTAGGGATCAACAATTCCAGTTATTGTAGAAAAATAATCTCCCCATCACATCTTGGAGAAATTAAACCATTATGTAAGGTAGGATTATGACTATTTTACCAACGTGTCATCTCCCATCTTGACAATTAATAATGTCTGTGCAATTTTGGTGTGCTACCATACCTCACTATTAGTGAGTTTCATGTTTTTATATCATACTAGAATGTTGATAAGAAAGTGAAGGTAATCACCTGAACACTGAATTACATATTACGATGTAAAAGTAAAAGAGCTTTAATTTATATAGTGCCTTTTAAGACCTTGGGATGTCCCAAACTACTTCACAGGAATTGAAATACTTTTTAAAAAGGTAATTATTATTGTAATACAGAAAATGTAGCAGCCAATTGTGTTGAAGATTCCATGAACAACAATAAAATGCTATCAGGAAAACTTTTCTCGTACTGGTGGTTGAGAGAGAAATATTAGCAAGGGTTCCAGGGGCACTCCTCTGCTCTTACTCGTTTAATGTGTAACATCTATTATGAATGTTCACCTGCAATGGCAGATGGTAACTTAGTTTGTCAACTCATTTGAAAGATGGTACCAGTACGGTCAAGAGGTTCCTGTATACTGCATTGTTAATCTAGATTATGGGCTCAGTTCATGGAAGTGACACCTTCATCTGAGTCAGATGATTGTGGGGACAAGTATACTACCACTGATGTTAAAATTCTGTAAATGATGTTCAGCTTTTATTATGTGAATCAAGTTAATTTTCTCTCCTCTTTATATAAGTGACTATTATTTTTCAACTATGAATCAATTTTCTGGTTTCCAAAAGATGCCTATTAGTCAACTGGCTGATACATTTATAGAATGGTACCACTTTGAAGCAATTGTTAACATTTTTTAAGATGGCTTCTCTAGGTACTGCTTGTACATCTGTCTTGGACTGCATCCTGTTTTCCCTTTCTCTTCCCATGGTTGGCAACATTTATAACGGTTTGGAACTAACAGCAAGTTTTTTTTTTTGGCACAGTGGGTCTTGTTCGTAACCAATTTGGCTTTACACCCATGTTAAATAATCAAATTTTAAAGTTGAGAGCTAACCCCTTCATTTGCAGATTCTGTATTTATTAAATACATTTGCTTTGTATGTATTTAGCTTATTAGTTTTATTTTATGTTTCTAGTTCTTTGTGGACATATTCATAGCTTAAGAGTATAGAAGTTTTTTTTGTTCTTGAGCAGTCACGAATTCATTCATTCGCTGTCAGTTTTTAAGCATGCTGCTTTTCCCAAAGAATAGTTACGCTAATTCCTAACTCTAATGATGAGGTGATTTCATGCATATTCCATTCCTTTTGGGTCCTTAATGCACAATAGCAGTTGCAGACTGCTACATATTACCTATCACTTTTACCTATAGCTTAACACACTAATCAGAGGGGTGTTTTCAATCGGTGTTATCAAGAGAAAAAAGGAAGCATTAAAATATCTTGATGTCAGAAAACCTTTCTTCCTTCTCTCGTTGCCTTTTTAACAATTCTCTTTCTTTATTTCCTTGAATGTTTTTGCAATACGCTGAATGCATTTTATGGTGCTGGTCACCTTCTGGTGCTTTGTCAGATTGACTATTCTTGGCATTTGAATCTAGACTGTTGGCATTAGTGAGCATGCATTTGCCAGACAAAAATGTGGCCGGTATTGTGTTCCCTAAACCAAATACATTAAGATCAGTTTTAACATCCCTAATATCACTTTCTGATATCAGCCACTTCAACACAGACTATAGGTGATATTGGGTATCTTTCTGTTTTACAGTACAGTTATTCATTACCTGAACCAAATCATCAGGGGAAATGATCATACATTGATGATTTTATAATACCTACTGGTGACCTACTTATTGATAGTGAGTTTCATAGTATTTTTGCCGTAATGCTGCTATGAATAACTATCATAGCCAATTCTTTGAATTCAGAGACTTTAAACACATTGCTGTCTAGTATTGTTAGAGCTTCCCTTCAAGTACAAATAAATTTGAGAACAATGTATGTTAAATCAGAGTTTGACATTTTCAGAAGTTGCAAGTAGGTTGCAGTTTTTAGTTAACATTTGAAAGGTTTGACTATTAATGTGCCCTGTTTTTGGCTTTTGATAATATTTTATTCTAGAGCTATGACTCCAGCACAAGCAGATTTGCAATTCTTGGAGAATGCAAAGAAACTTTCAATGTATGGTGTGGACTTTCATCCCGCTAAGGTACAAAGTCTGTTTTTATTTGTAATTCTTCAACCACTGTTAAACCTAATCACTTGGCTATTTTTATAAAATGTACTTGGCTTTTTAATCTATATGGTTTAGTTCAGCCAGTTTCAACACGTATCTCTGACTTTCTGCCTGTTGTATCTAAAAGTTTGTAGCTAGTAGCATAAATATTATAAATCAGCCTTGTTATGAGTTATTGCTTGAATGTATTGGTTCTCAACTTCTTGTGCTTCCTTCATCTTCTGACTTTAACTAACTAGTTTTATGTAAGAATAGAATTAGCAGCAGAAAACCACTAGTTTTATAAACGTATTGATATGCAGAAATCTAACTTTCAGTTGCAGGTGTTTAGTTTAACAACCGCAATAGCTTATCAAATAAACAAACTATGTTTACATGCAATCATAACCTTTTTCTAATGTTTGTTATTTGAATGAATATTCAATTGGGATTAGTAATTGTCAAACTCTATTAAATCTTTTCAGGTCCATAAGTGGACCTGTATCTGTCATTTGCGCTTTCATTTAAAGTTTATTAGATGTAAACAATCAATAAAAAGATGTGCAATTTTGAGCTATTTTGTTGTAACCAGTGATTACAGGATTTTAACTTGTTATATGTATTGCTGTCACCTTACTTTGAATTGGTGCAAAATGATAAATGATGATGTAAAGAGAAATAACAGCATGTCATGCACAGGCAGAATATTCTCACAAAAATGGATAAACTTTAAATTTGCAAATAATGTAACAAAAGAGTAAATTACATATTTCACTAACTGATTTGGGGCCATTGTTCAAGAGATGCTCCTTTCTCATTGATCATCAGCAGCAATGTGTTTAGACACTGTTTCGGGGGAAAAGACTAGCACACTTCCACATGTCTGGTACTTGTTCTTAAGTCGATTTAAATCTGATCTCACCTCAACATTTTATCTATCCTTTTAAGTGTTTCAAAAATGTATAACAAGGTGAACAGGAGCCATTTGCTCCTGAGCATGTTTACATTTTAGAGGCTTTTGTTTACGGAGCTTGCTTGAAGTGGATCCATATCTTACAAGAAGTGGAGGTGACATTAAAGATATATTTTAAATTCAACAGACAATTCTTTCTTTCTATATATGACTCCTGGCCAGTTTTTTTTAAAATAGTGATCTACTTACTTGAGTTTGTGAATGAAGAGAAGGAGTGCTTGTATGTTTTTCATGTCAGTGAGCTATGTATGTTCAACACATTATAACCTCTTACACATCTGCTCCTTTTACCTCACTGTTGGTTGCAGGACATGTTGCCACACTTGCCATACAGTCAAGAACACCCTCCTTAAATCCTTCTACCTCCTCAATTTCCTTTAAAAATTTCATAGCCTGACTTTTCAACCAAGCTTTCTGTTTCGCTTTCTAATCTCTTCTTCCAATGCTCCACTTCTGTTTTTGGAACGCCTTGGAATATTTTTAAAGATGCTTTATAAATTTATTTTTAAATGTGATAGAAAAACCACTATAAATCTGTAATTACTAATGTTTTGGTGGCAGTGCAAGATGTCTGTCTGTTTATGGAAAATACATTTTCTGTGGCTCTTAATACAATAGTCGTCTTTGCATAATCAAACATGCAATGCTCTTGGTTGGTGTGAATAAAGTATTTATGTCTCCCAGAAAAAGTGTTACGCAGAGCTGTAATCACAGACAAGAACAGTAAGGGAGGTGGCTGCATAAGTAGTGAGATGATAAACATAGGATTATTGTAAATGACCAAAATTTAAACTGTTAAATAATAACTAATAGAAAGCCTTGTATTTTCTGTCCCTTATGATGTAGCAGATTGTAATGCTTTACCACCTTTAAATTGTGCATTTATGTGGTCATCTCTACATCTGCGTGAGATGAAAACTAAACCTCAGGTTTCTTACATTTATGAAGAAGTTCCTGGTTTTAACTTTACCCTGGATATTCATCTCTGAACTTTTCAGCCCAGTTGCAAATACTCATTTTCCATGTTTATCTATTGCCTAGCTATTTAATGTCCTCTTAATCTGATATCATGTTTGATGTAAACAAACCCAAACCAGATCACCACAGGGAGGGGTGAGGAATAAGAAACTGTGCTTTAAGTGAACGTTTTCTAATTGATTTTTTTTTTCTTGCATTTGTTAACATAGCTTCAGCATCAAGTGGTCATTCATCTATTTCTACCTCCTTGTTATTCTTTAACATGTTCAAATAGGACCTTTAGGAAGTAACAGAATAACTTTATAGCTGTTCATCAAGAAGCAGAGTTTCAATGACTGAAATTAGTGCTACAGTTTTTATGTTTGGATCTTTTTGTTTCTCTCGGCATTACTGCAGAATCTACATTTTAGTTCTGTTTTACTTAGAGAGGGAAACAATTGGATTTATCCAGTTTGGTTAGGATCAAAACATGTTGAAATGATGATACTTTGTTTGCTGGTGTTGTGATTGTTTAGTACTTCAGGTGATTCATAATCCCTTTACCATGTAAGAAGCTTTTATCCATTGAATCCCAGTGACATTTATTAATGCACTGCTTTTCCGTACTGGAAATAAGTAACATGTAGTTTTTTTTTGTTGCATAGTATAATTAACAGGATGTGAAGCCATTCTAGTCAGAGCAAGATAAATGTGGCAAAGGTCAGTTGGAGAACTATTTTATGTCTTCTGGAAAATTTGTGTAATGGATGCTAATTGGCTATGTATTGGTGGACAGAGTTGAGTTTCACAACTGAAATTTATACTATGTTCCTAATTATTTGAGGGCTTGTTACTCTTCAAATTTGTAAATCAATTTTACTCCCACTAATTTTAAAATAGTTTACTAGTCATATTCCACTCCAACATTATAGTTCTCTTCTTTCATTGCCCTTCTCACCACTGCTGTCTTACCTACCCTACCCGTCAATGTAAGGTGCTCTGATATGTTTGTCTGGTAAGCAAGCAACAAGTTAAATATTTAAAAAGCACCCTTACTGTAATGTGACAAGCCAAGATGCTTTGCAGGATAATTATAAAACAACTTGCAGTATCAAGCCACATAAAATGAGGTTAGGAAAGATTACCTAAAGCCTCATAAAGGTGGGGGATTTTTGTCTTTAAAGGAGGTGAGAAAGAGAGATGGGGAGATGGGAATTAGGGAGCTTGGGGCAGAGGCAACTAAAGACATGGCCATCAATGATGGAGGGGTTTAAATTTGAGTGCAAAAGAGGCCAAAATTGAAGGAGGGACAAGACCATGACGGATTTGAAACCAAGGATGAGAATGACAAAATTGAATATTTTCCAGACTGGAAGCTAATGTAAGTCAGATAGCCCATTGGTGTTGTGTGATTGTGATCGGTGAAAATTAGGGTAAGGACAGCAGAAGTTTTGGATGAACTCACATTTATGTAGGGTGGATGATTGGAGGCCAGCCAGGGTATTCAAATTAGCAAATTTACAGGCAGAATTGTAGGGGTAAGAATAGGTGGTCTTTTGATGGAGCCAGTATGTATTCAGAAGCTCAGTTTATGATGAAATACAATACCAAGGTTGCAAGGAAGGGAGTCAATGACTAGAAAATGGAGTTCATGATTGGGGCCAAAGATCATATCTTTGGTCTTCTAAGTATTTGATTGGAATTTCTGTTCAACTACTAAAGACAAAGAGTTTTGGGATATAAAGTGCTAGAACGTAGAACTGTTACTAGCTTGAGAGAATTTTGGAGCACTGCATGAGTTATTCTTGAGATTATTAAAACATAGGTGAAGTAGTGATGTTTTCCCTTGGTCTTCTTGGTACTAATACACTACCTAATAACAACTCTGGATAGTCTGCAGTCCTGAAATGGACTGTAGTAAACACTACAATTTTTAAACAATGTTTTCTAGTACTGTGATGTTATTCAATTTTACCATCCCTTACAAATCTAAATATCTAATCTAAGTTATCATATTGTTTCCATTAGAATAAATACTGTGGACTTTTGAATACTTTGAGGGATTTTTGTTGCCTATCACCTAGTTTTATATAGTGAATTGTTTCTTAAATGGATCTGTGCAATAAAAGGGTACATTCTAGCTTTTAAAGGAAGTAAAAGTGAGAGTGAAAAATTTAAGGTGTTTGTTCTTGCATCTGTTTAATTGGGTTTACCAACTATGATAGTCATATAATGGGGCAACATCTTCTAAAGAGCAAAACATTGTTTCATTGCACTTTTTTGAATAGCACGGTTACATAATGTTGCCCCCTCGTACTATTTAGTAGGAAAACTAAATTAGAATTTTCTTTCTGACTGGACACGTAGTTTTTGGTTTTCACTAATCTTTTAATTCTCTTGTCTTTAGGACTTAGAAGGAGTGGACATCATGCTTGGGGTATGTTCAGGTGGTCTTCTTGTATACAAAGACAGGCTCAGGATCAATCGTTTTGCCTGGCCGAAAGTTCTCAAGATCTCGTACAAACGCAGCAGCTTCTTCATTAAGATTCGTCCAGGAGAGGTATATATGTACTGACGTTCATCAGGAATTCGTTTTGGAAGAAAATTGTTCATTTTTTCCTAAATTCAAATGTTTCTGTTTTTTCAAAAGTATCACCATGTATTTAGTGGTAGTAAACCAAGTGCTTCTTAAATGTGCCTTCAAAGTAGAGGAGCTAGCAACAGTTTTATCTTAACTCAGAAATTCTGCTCGAATAGTGGTCATTGATGTCAATGGTAGCATTTAATCCCGTTCCACATTACGTTGAGCTGGTGGTAGTGGGCCTTTGTCTTGGACTGTTGATAACATTTTAATACAACTAAGGGGTTTACTAGGTCACTTCATAGGGCTATTAAGCATTGCTCTTGTTTTGTGTGACACTAGAGTTGTAGATAGGGCATTCCAGATTGAACCACTTCAGTTTTCATAATGATCTAATAGCTTATTGGTTATTTTTATTGATACAGTATTTTTGTTTTCAGGTTTTGTAAAATTGAATCCAAATTCACAAACTTAAGTGGGTTTTGAATTTGCATTCTCTAGACTTCTAGTCCAGATTTCTCGATTACTAATCCAACATAGTCTCCAAATAAACAATGTTAAAATGCTATTCTGCACTTCACTGTGCAGGTTTTGATAAGTACTATATTGGATACTTGATTTAGTGTGAGGTAGGACATAGGTAGCAGAGAATGGATGATCTCCATTTTATAGAAAGTAGAATGTAGAAGGCTGGTCAGTGGTAAATTGAAATAGTCTGGTGAGGCACTGAAGCTCTGAATGAGGGTTTTGGCTGAGGGTGAACTGGAAAAGGGATGGAAATGAACAAATGTTTATGAGCTAAAAATAAGTGGTCTTAGCGCAGACTTGTGGTTGAAAAGTCATTCTGTGCTGAATATGACACCAAGGGTTCAAAACAGTTTGGTTCAGTCTTGGACAATTTCTCAAAGGCTTTGGCCTTCCTAGTATTTAGTTGGATATTGAATGCAAATATACAAACAAGTTTTCAGCATTTTAATGAGAAGAGAAGGAAAAATAATAAGTGTGTGCAAATCAGGAATGTCATTGCTAGTTGAGATTCTGATCCATTCAAACAAATTGCAAGCAACACCAGCTCTGAAACAATTCGATCTTTCCTTCAAGGATCTATTTGCATTGATTCGTCGGCTTTTCAACTCAGGACATAGTAAAGCATTTACCAGCCAACTAAGCACTTTTGCAACACAGTCACTACTGTGATGTAAGAAAAAGCAATAGAAAAGTTTCCACACGACAAGCTTCCGCAGTTATAACTTATAAGATCACGACAACGCCACCCGGAAACTGGAGGAGCAGCACCCCATATTCTGCCTTTGGAACCTACAATCCAATGGTCTCAATGTGGACTTTATTAGTTTCAAAATCTCCCCACCTTGGCCTCATCCCATGACCAACACCCCCACCCCCACCCCCCCATCCCCGCCTCCTTGACCTGTCCGTCTTCTCTTCCACCTGTCTGCTCCTCACCCACCTCACTGACCAATCCCCACCATTGCCTACCTGCACTCGCCTATCACCATCCCACCTACCTGCCCCAGCCCCACCCCTCCTCTCTGTCTTTATTTCAGAGCTCCCTTCCCCCTCCCCCATTTCTAAAGAAGGGTCCCGATCCAAAACGTCAGCTTTCCTGCTCCTCTGATGCTGCCTGGCCTGCTGTGTTCCTCCAGCTCCACACTGTGTTGTCTCTGACTCCAGCATCGGCAGTTCTTATTATCTCTGATCTTTTTATAGTGTTTGGCCTTGAGTGGTCCAGTTTGATCAGTTAATTTTCAGTAAGGCACAATTCCAATGACCAGTATGTTACATCTCCAAATCCACACTATACTGTATAAATGTTATTGCTTCTATATTTTGAATGTAGTGTGAGACTGTGTACATGTGGCGCCATCTATCCTTTGATGGGAAAACATGAAAGCAGATTACAAGTTTTGAAGGCTTTAGAAAATAATGTGGCACTGTCTACTGTGGAATAAATATATCTACAAAAGAGACTTGTAATATTACACTTTATTTGTACCATTCTAATTTCCCCATTATTCCCTTGTCAAAATTCTGGCAGAGTTCAATTGGTGCAGACTGCCTTTTAATACTTCCTTTTTCAAATGATTCTTCTTTTCATGCAGCAGATTGTCTTTGCATCTGTCTCTGGACTATTTGCCTGTTAGGTTTAGTGCTGTCTTTGGTGCCCATTCTGCACTTCTAGTTGGAGTGGATGGGCAGCAAACAAGATTGGAAGCTTTGGCCCCATAATTTTATTTTTGTTCTCTTTGAAATCGCCAGCTGCATCAGCACTGCTTGTGAATGCTAAAGCCAGTTGTTTTTGTTGAAATGCTGATTTTGCTGAGAGCCACTTGTTGATCATTGATCAAAATTGTCCTCAGTAGCTTACAGCTACAAGCAAAATACTGCAAACCTGAGATAAAAATGATTGATCTAATTGAATTATTTTTAAGATGATTAAATAGTTCCTTTTTTCCTCCGATGTAAAGAGGCATAACCTTAAAATGAGAGCCAGGCAAAGAAGGGTAATGTTAAGAAATATGTCTTCCCTTAGACACTCCATGGCATTACAATTGCTAAAACCCCACCGTGCTGTTAGCATTGACCAAAAACTTAACTGGTACAGCCATAATTAATACTTTAATCGCAAGAGTGGCAAATCACCTGCCTCCCAACTCCGGAAAGCATAGTCATCATCTCAGTGGACGCAAGTTAGGAGTGCTATAGAATATTGCCTACTTGCCTGGATGAGTGCTGTTTCTATAACACTCCAGAAGCTCAACACCATTCAGAACGAAGTAGTCACTTGATTGTCACCAAGGCTGTTTTAGCAGCATATTCCAAGCCAGTAACCTCTACCAACTACAAGAAAAAGGCTAGTATATGCATGGCAACACCACCAGCTGCAAGTTGTGTATCATCTTGACATGGAACCATATTGCTACTCCTTCACTGTTGCTGAGTCAAAATTGGAAACAGTGACCACAAAATCGTAGAAGTTAGCCTTCCGTTTGAGAGGGAGGAACTTGGATAGAAAATGACTGTTCTAAGGTCAAATAAGGGTAATTAGAAAAGAATGAGAGCAGAGATGGCTATAGTGTACTGCGGAAAGCACTTAGCTGCAAAGATCGTTGAAAAAATAGTCCATCGCTCACAGTAAAGCGATATTCTAGGGAGGGGATAAGCCAATCATGGTTAATGAGGGAAATTAAGAATAGCATCAGATTGTATTATTTTCTTTCAACGTGTCAAAGATAAGTGGTAAGTCAGAGGATTGCAAACATTTTAGAAACCAACAAAAGATGACCACAAAAATAATAAAGAGGGAGAAAATAAACTTTAAGGTTAAACTTGCAAGTAATATCAAGATGGACAACAAGCGCTTCTTTAAATTTATAAAAAGAAAGAGAGAGAAGCCAAAATGAACATAGGCCCCTTAAAGAAGGAGGCTGGGAAAATGTAACGAGGAACCGGGAAATGGCAGAGGAGTTGAATAAACTCTCTGCATCAATCTTCGCAGTAGAAGACATGAATAGCAGTCAAAAATAACTAAATTTCAAGTGGCAAAAGGAGGATATAAATACATTAACTATCACTGGAGCAAAAGTGCTAGGGAATCAAATGAGGCTAAAGACTCCTCAGTCCCTTGTACCTGATGGGATGTATCCTCGGATATTACAAGAAATAGCGACAGGTGGTGAATCTTCCAGGACTCCTTAGATTCTGGAAAATCCCAGAAGACTGGAAAACTGGCAATATAATATCTTTAGTTAAAAAGGGAAAGAGGCAGAAAATAGGTAAGGAAAGATCAGTTAGCTTAACATGTATTGTTGGGAAAATTTTAGAGTTTATTATAAAGGCTGTAATAGCAGAACTTTTGGAAATACATAACAATCAAGCAGAGTCAGTATGTCTTCATGAAGGGGAAATCATGCTTGACAAATTTACGAGAATTCTTTGAGGAGGTAACAAGCAGGATAGATAAAGGAGAAGCAGTGCACGTAATATGTTTGGATTTTCAGAACATATTGATATAAGATAAGAGCACATGGTGTTAAAGGTAATATCTTAACATGGATAGATGATTGACTGACTAATGGAAGACATGAAGTTGGGAGAAGGGGACCATTTTCAGTAATGGCAACCTGTAATTAGTGGCGTGCCGCAGGGATCAGTGCTGGGACCATAATTATTTCCAACATATATATACTAATGACTTGAATGAGGAAAGTGAATGGACTGTAGCCAAGTTTGCAGATGACACATATAGTCTGCAGAGGGATATGCACAGGTTAAGTTAGTGGAGGGAGAAATGCTTGGCAGATGGAATATAATGTGGGGATATGTGAGGTTATGCACTTTGACAGGAAGAATCGAGGATCTGAATATCATTTAAATGGAGAGAGACTGCAGAAACCTATGGTATAGGGATTTGGGAATTCTTGTCCATTAATCACAAAATGCTAGCATATAAGTTCATAAGGTAATCAGGAAGGCAAATGGATTGTTGACATTTATTTCAAAGGATGTACAGTATAAAAGTAGGGAAGTTTTGCAAAAACTATACGAGGCACTAATCAGACCACAGCTAGAACACTCAACAGTTTTGGACCCCTTGTGTAAGGAAATATGTGCTGGCATTGGAGGCAGTCCAGAAAAGGTTCATTTGACTGATACCATGTATGGAGGGACCACCTTATAACAAAAGGATGAGTGGATTGGGCCTGTATTCATTGGAATGTAGAAGAATGAGAGGCGACCTTATTGAAACATACAAGATTCTTAGGATACTTGGTGAGTTAGAGACAGAAATACTGTCTTCCCTTGTGGGAGCATCGAGACCAGGGACATAATCTCAGAGTAAGGGGATTGCACATTTAAAACACAGATGATGAGGAATTTCTTTTCTGAGGGTTGGGAATCTGTGAAATATTTTCCACAGGAGGCTGTTAAGTCGGAGTCATTACATATATTCAAGGCAGAGATTGACCTTTTTTTTTATCAGTAAGTTGAATTGAGGATTATAAGGAAAAGGCAGGAAAGCGGAGTTAAGGATTATCAAATCAAATTATGTCGTTGATTGGCAGAGCAGACTCAATAGACTGAATGGCCTAATTCTGCTCCTTTGTCTTAGGGTTTTGTGGTCATTGCGCTACTCCCTAACCATGCTGTAGATGCACCTAAACCACATGGGCAGAGTAGTTTTAAATTTTTATTCAATCTGTTTTTCTAATCGCCCTGTTCAGAGATGCTATTACACATTTCTGGAGCGGTTGGCACTTGAACCCAAGTCTCTTGATTCTGGGGTAAGGACACTAACCACTTCACCACAAGAGGGCATCCCCAGCATACTCCTAGAACAGGGTTTCTCAATAGCATCCACTGCTAATACTTTGGTTCCACAAGTGTGAGTCCAAGATCTGAAGCTATGAGGCTACTGTAAATTGTGCAGTTTTTCTTCAAATGAGTGTGGCCTGACTGCCTGATCCTACATGCTCAAGTTCTGACCTTGAAAACCATACATGGTTTTTCCTTCGGAACCTTGTGGATGAAACAGCTTTCCTTCCTGTCACCCTAAAGTTTCTCCCAAAGGTCTAAGGTGTTGAGCATCAAAGTGAGCTCACAGTGGGAAAGTCTGATCCTGGAAGGCAAATAATTATCACCCGCTAAAGGGCAATTAAAAATGGACAATAATTGCTAGTCTAGCCAGTGCCATTCACGTTCCATGAACAAATAAAAAGGACATGAAAAGGTAGAAATTTGGGACATGCTCCCTCAAAAAAAAAACTGATGAAACTAGGTCGTTTGGAATGTAAAAACTGGGATTAAAGAATTTATTTGGCAAATATATATTAACTGAAATGAAACAATGGCAGGTAAATGAAGTTAAGACACAGATCAGCAATGATGCAAAGGTTGTGATGAAATGAATATTGCATACTTTCATTTGAAAGTTATTCCAAAAGGCCTGTTGTTGAGAGATTTTTCCATTAGTTTCCTGAAAGTTCATTATTTGTGATTTGTGTGCAATTTATTAGTGTTACCCTCTAAACATTTGAATTTCTGCAATACCAGCCAAGCACTTCTGATAGTACAGGAAAAGTATCAAATGCAGAAGGTGGGCAGTTGCCTCAGAATTTGAGGGAAGTTCTTGAAATTTTGAACATTTGCTGTATTTTTGAATATGTGTAATTCATGTGACATTTTTGTAGGAATATGTATAACTGTTCAATGAATTGTTGATTTTTCTGTCTTCGTTTTTCAGGATCAGTGTGAAAGCACTATTGGATTCAAACTGCCCAATTACCGTGCTGCCAAAAGGTTGTGGAAGGTATGCGTGGAAAATCATACCTTCTTCAGGTATGTATGTATGCAGCACTTAATGTGAAGAAAATCAGGAAGAAAAATTGCTATTCCATTAAGTTAAAAACATTTAAAGACTGAGATATCACAATCATTCTCACTTATAAGTCTCCTTCATAAATTCAATCCTGACTGAGTAATTTGATGACAGAAGCTGTGAAATTTCCCCACATAATCTAATATGGAGTTCCTTAGAATAATTCTTGCAATATTATACTTAATCCATCAATGTGTAATTCAGAAGCATAGGTGAACAGAGAGGGAGATATCACTGCCATGTCAATTCTCTGTACTGTCTGTGAAATATGAATTTTGGAGTAATTTTGTCGTTTGTACACTAACGTGAATTCTGTCAGTGGAACTCAAAGAATTGGTTGATGTAATTTTCTGTTTCAAAAGTGAACAGTGTGATATAAGTTTATAAATGTATTATTATTTTTGGAAAATTGGTTTCTAAAGTTGGGATAAATAATTTTATGGTTTTCAGACAGATATTTGCTAAGCAAGGTGTCTGAAAATTGTTTGGGACAGTGACCTAAAGACAGCTTTTCCAAGAAATGATGCAACATTTTAAATGACACACCGCCTTCTTGGCTAGATAATTGCTCCATGTTGTGTTTTTGTGATCTACCTGATTTTCAGTACCACCACAATAGATGAGCTCCAGCTACTGTCTCAGTTCAATAATGCCATTATCCATCATGATGCCATTGATCGCTTCTCTCACTTGAGTTAATGTCTTTGCGTTGGGTGCATAGGGATGTTTATGGGTAACATATGCCCTACACTGACACCATGTATATCGTCAGCTTTCCTGCTCCTCTGATGCTGCCTGGCCTACTGTGTTCCTCCAGCTCCGTATTGTGTTACCTCTGACTCCAACATCGGCAGTTCTTACTATCTCTGATTACTGGAGTGTAAGCTTTTGAATTTTCAGACTCTAATTCATTTTTAAATTTTCATGATTTCTTATTTCACTCCCTATTTCTCGTATCACAATAAATACAGTTTTGTCCTGATTCTCCACCCTGTCATAGTATTGTTTTAACATACTAACATGAGACACTTGCTGATTACCCAACCATCTTCAGCTGCATCATCAATGATTTTCCTTGCATCCTAAGGTCAGAAGTGGGGATGTTCACTGATGATTGCACAACGTTCAGCACAATTCACGATTCCTCAGATACTGAAGTAGTCCGTGTTCGAATGCAACAAGACACTGGACAGTATCCACGCTTGGGCTGATAAGTGGCAAGTGATATTCGCGCCACACAAATGCCAAGCTATGACCATCACCAATAAGAGGCAATCTAACCGACACCCCTTACATTCAATGGTGTTATCATCACTGAATCCCCCACTATCAACATCCTGGGATTATCATTGACCAGAAACTCAACTGGACTCACCACATAAACAGTGGCTACAAGAGCAGGTCAAAGTTAGGAATACTGCGACAAGTAACTCACCTCTTGACTCCTCAAAGCCTGTCCACCGTCGACAAGGCACAAGTCAGGAGTGTGATGGAATACTTCCCACTTGCCTGGATAAGTGCAGCCCCAACAACACTCAAGAAGCTTGACACCATCCAGGACAAAGCAGCCCACTCGATTGGCACTGCATCCACTCCCTCCACCACTGACGGTCAGTAGCAGCAGTGTGTACTATCTACAAGATACACTGCAGAAAGTCAACAAAGATTCTCAGGCAGCACCTTCCAAAACCATGACCACTTCAATCTAGAAGGACAAGAGCGGTAGACATTTGGGAACACCGCCAACTTCAAGTTTTCCTCCAAGCCACTCATCACCCTGACTTGGAAATATATTGCCGTTCTTTCACTGTCGCTGCGTCAAAATCCTGGAATTCCCTCCCTAATGGCATTGTGGGTCAACCCACAGCAGGTGGACTGCAGCGGTTCAAGAAGGTAACCCACCATCAACTTCTCAAGGGCAACTAGGGATGGGCAAGAATTCTGGCCA